CACAGTTATGACTAAATAAGGTGATATTCTACAAGATAATTGTATCGATGTCGCTTTTGTGTGTTGACTGGCAATTTTAGGCTGGCGTGACAACGAGGTTGGGTTGTAGCCGGCGCAGTCACGAATCACGCTACGAGAGTTTTGATTTTGAGGCTTCTTCAGCGCACGCCTGCAGGTGTGTTTACATTGTTCAAATAAAGGCAATCACTGCGTTCTTATACCCGTGCCACACGGGCAACTCGAATGCCATTTACAACGATTCGTGTGGTCAACGAATCGGCTCGCGATCTGTCGCGCGTGGAACGCCCCACGCTCGGATGTCGCGCGCTGATTGGCCGATCGTTCAAATGTCATTCGTCGCCTTGCCGTGTGGCACGGGTATTACTTTCTCTGGGAGTCACCGTTTCGTGCGCGAAAACGAGTGCAACGGTTACTGAGCCTTCACCAGAAGAGATAACAATATTGTAAATATGCATGTTTTTCGATTTGAGTCACTTGACGTCAGCTTTGCACGAAAGTGCGCGTTCCATATTCGCCACGTGCCGTTTTTAACCTTTAAAATTCCGGTTTCTGGTGTTAGGACACACACGGACGTTTAGGAAGATGGGGAGAGTTAGGGATGTCGGATGTGCAACGTCGAGCATGATAGTTCTGTGTTTAGTTTTATGCAGATACATGAAAAGCGCGAAATAACGCGAACTAAAAAGCAATATTATTCTGTTTTGGCACAAACTACTTGTGAGCCGAAAACAGGATTGTTAATAATAATAATAATAATAATAATAATAATAATAATAATAATAATAATAATAATAATTTCATTTACACATACTGAATGGAAGGGGCCCATGTGCTGGTGTGCGGGGCTAGGTAGATAGGTGAAAACCCTTACGCAGAGCGCCTGCCGGTCAGACTTGTACATAGTTCAACTACTTTACTTAAGTTGCTGTAGTTTAACTACCTTTCTGGGTAGTTTAGTAACTTTCAATTAAATTTCTATTTTGGTAATTAGTAGTTTACTTTAACTACTTTTCCGAGAGACTTCTACTCAAATTACAAATTACTTCCGAATTTTAGTGGTTGTTTTGCCTATCAACAGAGATAAGATGTTTAGAAAATCAGCTGATATTTGCAGAGGGGGAAGCATGTGGCGTAGAAAAGGGGGGGGGGGGGGGTATGAAGAAAGCAATTTGGATATAGTCCAAAACCCCCAAAAATTTTAACGAGCCCCCCACAGCAACAACACTGCTATGAGGCGCGGGGAGCGAACAGACACGATGCAAGAGAGGCCGAGTAACTGTCGAAGACTGGCGTTTCTTTGTATCCCGAAGTTCAAGGAGACTTGACGCATTTGAAGAAAGGGCTTGTCCCCGCTTCTTCCCAATGTAAACATCCTCACTCAAAGGAGGTAACAAAGTGCAGCACCCGCTCTGAAGTTGATCTGGTGCTCCTGTATAGCTTGTGCTGTCTTTCGAGACGTCATCTGGTCATTTCTCTGAGTGAAGAAATGGCGGCTATAAGACCGATACAAATAAGTGCCTAATAAGTTGATCGTGTTAAATGGTTCGTCAGCGAGAATAAAGCAACTACTCTATGGCGTATTAGTTGCCGCCATTTCCAAAAAAAAAAAAAAAAAAAAAAAAAACTGACGCACTTTCGATTTTGCCGCCCTTTCCGAAAAAAAAACTGAGGCACCTCCAATTTTGCTGCCCTTTCCGAAAAAAAAAAAAAAAAAAAAAAAAAAAAAAAAAAAAAAAAACTTGATGCACCCCCGATTTCCCCTGAAGCTATAAGCATACCGGCCTGCTAGAAAAAAAAAATGCTGTATAGGGAATGAAAGTGCATTCTGAAAAAGTGTGTTAAAAAGTATTTCTACTTTACTTTGGAAGTACATTGTATTTGTAGTACATCACTTCAAGAACAGGGTGTCACCAAAGAAAATTTACACGGTCTTTTTCACCACAAAAATAAACTAGGCATCGCCAAACGCTCATTCTCCGCCCAAAGGTAGCGCTAGAGGTCACAACCAGATGCCAAAGTTTCAGCCCGATCCGATAACTTAATCAAAAGTTATAAGTGATTTTCTGAAAATTTCAATGGGAAAATGGCGGCCGACGGAGTTTTCGAACACATGGGGCTCTATAGCACCAGAGACCGAAAACGGGCAAAAATGAGCTCCACTTTCCCATTGAAATTTTCAGAAAATCACCTATAACTTTTGATTAGGTTATCGGATCGGGCTGAAACTTTGGCATCTGGTTGTGACCTCTAGCTCTACCTTTGGGCGGAGAATGAGCGCTCGGCGACGCCTAGTTTATTTTTGCGGTAAAAAAGACCGTGTAAATTTTCTTTTGTGACACCCTGTACATTGCACCCGGTGTACTTACTACTTTACTTGAAGTACATAACCTCTCATTTACTTTGTACTTCCGAGTAGTTTTTAGACGTACTTTAAGCAACACTGCAAGCAATCAAACACTATGGAGTTTTAGAATAGCGCACGCTAAAGCTTTGCGTACACAAAGAATAGCGTCGTCGCCACCGCGCGTGCTCCGAACGCAAACCAGGTTTCGCGCTTTGCGTGCGCAATTTTAGCGTGCGCTATTTCTCGGAAATAGCGTGCGTACGCTAAGAGACTTGGCGCTTCTCCAAGGAGGATTCGTGATGAGAAGTTGGCTAAAGGCAAGACGAGCAGAGTTTAAAAAAAAAAATGAAAGCCGTTTACAATTCCCTGTAACGCCGGTTAGAGCGCAGCTCTTGAGGAGGAAGATGGAAGCGTACTGAGGGATAGGTAACTACTTGAGGTCACGTGACCTCAAGGGGGGTCACGTGACTTTAGGCGGTCACGTAACTTTAGGGGTCACGTGGCCTCAGGGGGTCACGTGACCTGGGTGGGTCACGTGACCTCGGGGGTCACATAACCTGAGGGGGGGTCACGTGACCTCAAGGGGTCACGTGTCCTCAAGGGGGGTCACGTGACTTCAGGGGGTCACGTGACCTCAGGGGGTCACGTGACCTAAGCGGGTCACGTGACCTAGGGGGGTCACGTGACTTGGGGAGTCACGTGACTTTGGGTGTCACGTGACCTTGTGGGCCACGTGACCCTAGGGGAGTGGTCACGTGACCTCTGGGGGTCGCGTAACTTTGGGGTCACGCGACCTTGTGGTGATCTTGGGTTTCACGTGACCTTGGGATGACCTTGGGAGTCACGTGACCTTGGGGTGACCTTGGTTACGCCGACGCCGACGCCGACGGCGACAGCGATGCCGCTCAAGCCGGGAACGGGCCCCTAAGAGCTGCGCTCTAAAATGGCGGCTTCCAGGATTATGTCGGTGCGACGTCGGTGGCATCCTCGCGACTGCGATTTTCAATACGGGACGACATTATACTCGCGACGATCACCGGCAACTTGATGCTTGCGACGCGCGAACATTTCTCGGCGAAGGTACGATGTGCGAAGGTCAGTACACGAGACTAGGGATGCCACGAACCTTTTTCGAACCGAAAGTTTCGATGATCGATTCAAGCGGTTCGAAAGGTTCGAAAGATTTTGAATGTTCGAACTTTCCATATCGAAAAATCGACGGAAGTCGAATTTTCGAACTTGTTAAAGTAAGAAGTTCGACGCTTTTCGAAATTTCGAACTTATTACGCGGCAAAATTCGATGCTTGTCGAACTTTCGAACTTGATAGACTAAAAAATGCGATGATTTTCGAACTTTCGATTTTCTTGCACTAAAAAGGTCGGAAGTTTTTCCAACTTTCGAACTTCCTACGCTAAGAAAATCGATAATTTTCGAACTTTTGAACTTATTAATCTAAAGAATTCGAAAATTGTCGAACTTCCGATTCCTAAAAAGTCAAAAGTTCGACGAACTTCGACCTTTTAGTGTAAAAGTTCGAAGTTCGGCGAACTTCGAAAGACGGGTGGGCGGTTTCATTTGGATTCAAGCTGTGAGGTACATTCGTAATTTTCTTTTCCCGCATTTTTACATGTGGCGCCGCATTACTTGTGAAAGACAACGCCGTTTGTTTCAATCGTCTGGCATGCTTGGTTTAAAAGGGATACTTCAACGAAATTTGAAATATTCCCGTCGTGTTCAAAAATAGGTTGAATATGATCCACAATATCCGTAAATGACAATCGCACGTTTGTATTTTGATCCTGGTGGCTGTATTTTTCGTTATTCACCGATGTTTGTTTGCAAACAAGCTCACTACCACCCCCTATGGCGGACCCCTGCGCGCTTCCGGTTTTCCTCTTCTTTTCCATTTGTCTCTCCTCCTTTTTTTATTTGCACTACTTTGTACAATGCACTAATGTTCTTACAAACATACTACAGAAACTTCTCTGAAGGAAACTCTTCTTACCCCGACCGCTGTGCGTTGCTGAAGAATAAATAAATACACTGCCGGAAGTCTACTGGGGCACCAAATACTGTGGCGCCCTCGTGGTATCAACTCCCACCGAATTTGGTGAATAAACGGCCCACTCTGGCAAGCGCTCGGAGAAGGCCCAGCTTAGAGCACGTGACATCCAACGCAATCGTGACGTAGGTCGTCTCAAGACGAGCAAAGCTACGGCGAGGCTGACGTCGAGAGGATAGCCTAGTCGTTCCAGCCACCGAAGCGGCTGC